AAGGCATAAGGGATGTAATATCCCAGTGGGCTACAAGAACAGAATACTTATTGCACATATCTGCTGGCTTCACCCACACAGTCAACAATTCTGGAAAATGTCATTACAGAACATAGGATCAAAGAGAAACTCTTACAGTATCAAGAAACTAGGGATGCAGTCCAGTGACAGAGTGTGTGCCTAGCATGCTAGCATGGGTCAAGTCCTGGATTTGATCCCCAGAATTGCCAAGTAAAAGTTCAAATATATTATGAAAATGATAATACATTTAGATAGTGCATACATATATACATATACATAGTGTGTGTGTGTGTGTGTGTGTGTGTATGAAACAGCCCCTCTAGCACCATACAACTACATAGGTCAGATACCTATGTGTGTAGCTGGTCCTGAAGGAAATGTATTTTTATTTTGTATCTTGGTGGTTTTACTTTTTTTTTTTCTTAAAAGGGTAGTGTAGACCAACGTTGCAAATGTCCTAGACTCTGTGTTTTGAAGTGAAACACTACCTTTTTTATTCTTCCTGTTTGATAGTTGAGCTTAATTTGCAGAATTATTATCTAGGCCAGGATCTTAGAGGACTTGGCAAATATTCTTTTTGATTCTTCTGAACACATGGCTGGAAACAGTCTGAAAGGGTTACTTAGTTTTGGTTCAAGACCAAAGCATAATACTGCAAGTGTCTTCCTTCTGTCCCTATTAATGCAGCCAGCTCTCAAGCTCAGGGTTCGAAATAATGCAGTGTGAACTGCTAAAACAAGAGGAAATGTTACTTAAAGCATTGGCCTCACCTTCCAGTAAGAAGCTATTCTGAAGGAATTGTGTTACAATGTTACCTACAGGCCCAGGATCTTCTCCACGGTGTGACTATGGCTACAAGAAGCTGCAAACCGTTAGTGTTCAGCAAAAGAAAATGCGCATCATGATGAATCCAATTGTGGGACATCAGAGTACCATGCAGCTCTGGGGGCAGAAAGAACAAGAGTGGAAGGATGTTCGTAGCATGCACCATTAAAGGAACAATGTCTATGTTGGTAAACACAGAAAACTCTGTGTGTGTGTGTGTGTGTGTGTGTGTGTGTGTGTGTGTGTGTGTAGACTAGAAGAAGGTAAGATAAGGTCTGGTTATATACTACTTGCTGGCCTTGTACTTTTTATCTAGCTCAAGGTGTTCTCAAACTCCCAGCAATCCTCTTGCTGCAGTCTACTAAGTAATGAGATAACAGGAATTACCCCTCCCTGTATCACCGGTCACTTTTTAAGGGGAAGGAAGAACCAGGTTCTAGCCCAGGCTGGCCTTAAACTTACTATGTAGCCGAACTTCTGAGTCTCCTGTCTCTACCTCCTGAGTGCTGGGGTTACGGGTGTGGTGCCTTCACACCTGGTTTATGTGATTCTGGGGGTTAAACATGGGGTTTTTGTGCAAGTGAGACAAGCACTCTAACCCAGCCTTGTCTTCATCAGCCATTTTAGAAGATTTCTTTACTTTTATGTATGTGCCTGTGTGTGTATATGTGCAATTGTGTGCAAGTGCCCCAGGAAGACGGAAGAGTCAAAGTTACAGAGTCCTGGGCTGCCTCACATGAATTCTCAGAATTGAACGCCTGTCGCTAGTTGACTGCAAGAGCAGCAAGTACTCTTAACCACCAAGCCATCTCTCTAGCGTCCCATCCCCTTAAGCCACTTTTGAAGGAAACAAGCTAATGGCTAACCTTAGTAACAGAATGGGACCAGGAAGAGCTTGTATCACATGAAAGGGGGTGATGGGAGGAAGGCGGGAGAAAAGTTTATTGCAGAGTTAACAGTCAATAGGAACATGGTGGAAACACTAGACTCACTGTCTCTAAGTGAGATTGTAATGGGCAGAGTTTTCTTTTCTTCTCACTTTATATGTGGGAACTTTGAAGGTAGCTAGAATGTTTTTACTTCAAACCCCCTGGTTCCTTAACTGTCAGAGTTTGAGGTAAAGGGTGGTAGAGCAGTCACTGGTGCATAATAAGCACTTAGTAAGAATTTACTTTTTTGAATGATCAAAACCTTCTGGCCGGACTGGGAGAAGTAAGCTCAGCTACATTGTTTCCCAGCAGCCAGCACAGGAAATCACCTCTGCTTAGGGCACCTGTGGGCAGCCACCAGCCTCTAAAAACATCAGTTTATTGGTGCAATGTGTTTTTATTCTTCGGAGATAGTGGGAAAGTGAGGGAGCCCTGAGGATACACAAAAGAGGGCCGGGTGAGTGTGTTTAGACTCCTCTTAAAACAGCTCCTAGAGAAAAGCCCCAAAGTGTGGGTTTCTCCTTCCGTTATCAGCTTCCTTGATAAACTTATAGCTGATGTTTAGGAAAGAGAAGACAATAAACTAGTGAAGGATCAAGGCCTTTCTTTTTTCCATATAGCCAGAATAGGGAGATTATTGCAAAAGAAATAATGCTTTTTTAAATTAACAAAACACAAACAATACTATAAGCCATTTATTAGTCAAGGCAGCCTCCCCAGCAAATATAGCATATCACCTTTTTTTTTCTAGTTATGAAAACAATATATGTTTCTTGTTGGAGATTTAGAAGATGCATATATAATGGCAGGGGGTAAATTAAAGATTTCCAGGACTGAAGATGAAACTGGGAGGTAAGGAATGCTCGCCTGGGATGTGCCAGTCCCTAGGTTCCATAGCTGGCACCAACTCCTTCTGCTCCCTTTCTTCCCTTCCTTTTCTTCCCCCATAATTATCATTCTGATTATAGTCAATGCTTTTATGAATAATTTTCAATTTCTTTTGTGTGTGAATATGTATGGAAGTAGTAAAACCACATTCTAGCCTCCTGCTTACTTAATATATTGTGAATGTTACCCTACACCAACTCATTAAATAGACATTCCTTTCAAAACCATCTTTATAAGAAGATCATTCTTAGCCAGTTCCTTGTTTAAGCAGTTGCGACTCTCTCTCTCTCTCTCTCTCTCTCTCTCTCTCTCTCTCTCTCTCTCTCTCTC